CAAAGCTACAATTTGATAGAGGACCAGTCAAAACGCTTGAACTCGGAATTGCATAGCTCGGGGATCACATCCGCTTTCCTTGACGCATGCTTGCAGCAATTCTTCGAATGGCTTTCACCATGCTTCCCGGTCATACATGAACCAACATTTTCAACACGTGAAACCATCCCGCCACTCCTCCTAAACATGGTAGCCCTCGGTTCCTTATTTGTATGCCAACCAGACTCATCTCAGAAAGGGGAGATGCTCTGGCGCCTCGGCCATACCGCAGTAGCGACCTCCTGGCAAACACTAAGTAGCCTGCGGGGGCCGCGAGATGCCTGCGACGGCGTCCAATTGGTCATGACGGCGCTTCTAGGTCAACTCTTTGCACTACTTTCGAGCAATGAAAGCATACGAACAACTGCATTTGTATGGCATGGACTTGGCTTCTACTGGGCGCGAACATCTGGCATGTACGCCGCCGAAGATATGCAACACTACGATAATCCAGGACGAGATGCCCCAGACTCGGCAAAGCACGCGGCATGGTTGACATGGGCGGCCATTGAAACCAAACGACGCGCAATCCTAGGCCACTATATACTCGACGGCCTAATCTCACAAGCTTCAGGTTCCCCGGCCAGCACTCGTCACCTAATAAATTCCATCAAAACCGCATGCCCTGATGCTGCCTTCCTCGCAAAGACCGCAGACGATTGGATCGTCGAAATGGAAAAATCGAGCCCAACTCAACGTCCCTTCAGCGAAGTCTTTGTCTCCGTCTTCTCACCAGATTATTCAAGTTCCTCCCCACCACGTCTCTCAGTATTCTCTACCCTTGTCACCCTAGAGGGTCTACAATCCCTCATATCTGACCTGCACGAAACCACCGGACCGGTATTCGGCGCAGTTTCCGAAAGGCAGATTATCCAAGCTTTGTTAAATATCTACGACAAAAACATCAGTGAAGAATCACCCATCCACGACAACAACTTTCAACTCACCCTCCGATGGCACACTGTCTGTCTTGAACTAGCCGTATCTTCTGCTTCCTTATGTCGAAGGATATGTCACGCATATGGTCTACAGCAGCCCCTCGGAGGAATGGCCACCAAGGAAGACCAGCTGTCATTTGGTCTGAACCAATGGGCTAGAAGCGCCGGTGCTACGAGAGCAGTTCTACATGCACTTGCTATTACTCGAATTGTCAGCCAGATTCCGTTCAAGTCAGCTCACGCGCCTCATATCCCGGCTGCTATATATGCGTCGGCAGTTGTGATGGGTGGATGGTGTTTATCCCGCGAAGAGACGATCCATGTCGGGCCAGATACACCATGGCATGATATCTGGCGTGAGGGACATGACATCAACCAGTACCTCCGGCATGAAGATACCGACGGGACTAAAGTCCAACTGCTCAATGAGATGAACTTTCTCCAGATCAGTCTGGAAACTATCACGTCGCGCTGGAGCGTGTCTCGTCCAATGGCAGAAACAATTCAACAAATAGCCACCTTGGCTCGACAATATCATTAATTGATGGAAAAAGATATGAAGGATGTCCAATCGAGTATATATATATATACAGAGACAGATCATCATCGTTAAAAGTACTTGGAAGTTCTCTTCCTGATCCACGGCCCGAAGAAATATAATGGTAATCCCAAAGCGAGGACCGCCCATTGTACAGCAGCGAACTCATAGAACATCTTGTCCACACCCTGGGAGGTCATCCAGTCCACTGATCCCTTGCTCAACCCGAAGGCAACGACATTCTTGCTAGCATTCACCAATACTAGCGCCTCGCCGCTAGTGTCCGGGTATGAGTCGACAACGTATGACAACATCACCGAAGGGACTAGCGTCAACCCTGCTGCAGACATGGCCGAGCCTACTGCCGGTATCACATACTGCATGTGGCGGGAGACGGTGTATCCAAAGATAACCAGACCGAGTGGAGTGATGACGAACGGGATAATGAGCGCGGGGACCCGATGCTCCGGTTTATGGACGCCATTGTTACGTTTGCGGAGATAGGTAGAGAGAGCGTCGGTCAGAGGGCCCGCGATGGGCCACACGACGAGAATGCCGACGAAGCTACCAAACGTCCAGAGGCCGAGAGCGGCAGAGGAGAAGTTATATGGCGGAGGGGAGAAGATGTCGGCAGAAAGGGTGGATATAGAGACCACACTGTCGGCATAGCATAGTCAGCGTGCTTGATTCCAGGAGATAATCATCCTGGGAAGGGAGTTAACCTACCCTCCTAATACAACACCGTACATCATCGCAGCTATCAAAACCCCCGGGACTAGCAGCATGGGCAACGGTAGCCAGAACAGCCGAGCCAGTTGCTTGAAGACACCATTTTCTCTCGCTGCATCCGATAGGCCAACTTTAAACAAACTCTTCCAATACGCTCCGTAGGAGAATTGCTGCTGCTGCTGCCGCCGCCAGGCGTTGACATCGGGCACGGCCTCGACGTGGCTATGATAGGCCTCGGCCTTCTCTCTATCGTCCACATCCAATTGCTCCTCGGGACCAGGCTCGTAGAGTGTCTCTGGGAGAAAGAAGAAGGTGGCTACCAAATTGACTGCAGCAATGATGAGACACAGGATGAAGAACCAGCGCCAGCCACGGGCAGCAACGAGGTAACCGGCGATGAGGGGACCGACTTGCGAGCCGGCCGAGAGGAAGAGAGCGTAGATTGCCATTGCACTGGAGTAGTTGCGTTCGTAGAACATGTCTAGGGTTTGTTAGTGGACCCTGCTCGCTTCGCTTCAGACGTATCTTAGAAAGATGGAAATACGAACCAGCTAGGATACTAGGCCCCAATGACTCGATCGATCCATAGCCTGTGGCTGTTAGTAAAAAATCCTATTCATCGCATGGACAAAGTCCCAGGGAATGGTATATCATACCAAAACTAGCAAACACTCTAGCTCCCATCAAGCTATTGTAGTCCTTTGCAACGACCGACCAGATTATCCCAGCGACAAACATAGCCATGGACACGAGTACAACCGGGCGCTTTCCGAAGCATAGTGCCAGCGGCATCCAGACCAGGTTGGCTAGGCCCATGGACAAGACGGACCAGGAGACTAGGTCAGCGAGCTTTTGGTATCCGACGTGGAGATCGGCCGCGAGGGAGTCAAAGCCGGTCGCTATCCCTGACTAATGTGGAACATGCGTGTGAGTAGTGCTGGTCCGGCGACTGGATAGATAGTAGGTATAATACCGAGTACATATTGCCCATGAAGACAAATACATTGACGGTGAGTAGAGCTGCATATCGGACTCTGCGGGGATAGAGCTGTAAATTGCCGATAGGAGGACATAGAGCAGATGGTCAGCGCTTGTTTCTAGTTTGTTTATTTTCCAATTCGATGATGAAGAGGAGGGAGGGACACACCCTAGGATCTATTTGGGATGCCATATTGTACTATGATGGAAGTACTGGTACTAGTACTAGTAGCAGTATTGGACAATTCTCAGGCCACTCAGGGTCCAGCTGTCGTGAGGAACAGAAGAAAGGTCATACGATGCCAAGTTCTATATATCTAGACAGGGAGCGGATCATATATCGGCAGTTGGGTAGTTGTCACTACTACCCCGGATTTACCCCACACAACATATGCCATCATCACATGGGCTAAGCCCACCGGAATCTCCCTGAACAGGGTAGGGACTGGCGTTGAAACGCCACTTCATCCCGGGATGTGGCCCTCGGGTTCCCCGAATATTCGGGACCACGTACGATCCTGCGCCGTAGATGGATTGTGATAGGAAGAGCGAGATAGAGTACACTAGTGGCGTAAAGCTACCGAATAATAGTGCTCCGTCCAGAGGCCCATGCTGCTCAATAGGAGAGCCTGTACGGTGATCTCTATATTAACGGCGGCTGGGGGACTGAGTCGAAGTGCCTCTGGGAGGGGTCGTATCTAGGCGTCATGGCCGTAAAGACTGCGTCTCCGCCCTGCGCGGGTTCTTCCCGACGTCATGACCTCAAACCTTGTTTGCTTTATGATAAACAAAGAGCTTTGCCTCTTAAGTGCTCCTGATAGGACCTTCGAGCAGCGTACACGTGGGATATTGGTGCCTGGTAAGCGGGGAAGGTCATGCTTATTGTTCAATGCTAGGAGAGCTTACCTCGGCGAATCAAGTCGAGCATAGACCGTGCTTAGAGTGTCCTCAACTTTTGGGTAAGCTGTCTGTGAGCTCAACTCTTCTTTGGCGGTCAGATGAGTCTAGCCCCTGGCAGGTCTGGTAGCGAGATTCCAAACAGCGAAGCTAAGCTCCAGTCGTACTTGTCAGCACTTGCGTGAGCGACTTCTTCCCCAAAAGATTCCTGGCCGATTAACAGTTTCTTCGGTTTAGACAGATATGCTTTCGGATATTTCTGCCTGCTTTAGTCGATCCACTTCGCAGAGATGACATCGAACCACGAGCAGAATTGACTTTGCCGATGGACCATGGACTGAGCTATGGATGGCAATTCGAACATGGTGTTGAGGAAGAAGTACAAGGAATCCAGCAGGGCGAAAAGCAAAGGCCCCACGTGACGGAGTCACCTGCTCTGCCATTCTTGACTTGTGGGGGCTTCTCGCTTTTCACTTTCTGTGTTGGCTTCGTATCATAGCCCTCCACGGAATTTCCGTTCGCTAATTCCAACATACGTTGCCATTTCCATGCCAGCCAAGGCACTAGACCCCGGATCCCCCGCAAGTTGCTCAAGATGAAGAATGGGGGTGAACGTCAGCCACTGGAACCGTTGCATCACACCCCCGGATATCCCGATCCTCGGGAAAGCCGGGGACACCGGGGCAAATCCTACAAATCAGCCCCAGCTTGAGCTCAGAATTTCTCTCCTATCTGGACCAATTGACGATTTGTGATTTGCGGAAAAGTGCAGCTCCGGCGGCAAAGCGTGTCGACGTGGATTTAAAGAGCAACAAACATCGCGATTGCCTCCTTACGTGCCATTCCGCTTTGCCATTGTCATTTCGAGAACCCCTGCCACCATGGGCATCTTTAACAGTGTTCTCGGGAGAAGTGAAGGATCCACAATGGTATGTTTTATCCCTGAGCCGTACCAAAGTAACTTTTGAAAGGGGAGGTGATGAAGATGAATACTAAACCATCAAATAGAGTCATAAAGACTCACACCTTGACATCATCGTCGTTGGCGCAGGCCTCAGTGGCCTCGCCACCGCCATTTCCTGCGCCATGTCCGGCCACACCGTTACAGTTCTCGAGCAAGCGAAGGAGTTAGCCGAAGTTGGCGCCGGTCTCCAGATCACTCCAAATGCTTCCCGCTTGTTCTCACACTGGAAACTCCCCGAGAAGCTATGGACCGACGCTGCAGAGCCCACTTCATTAACAGTTCACCGCTACACAGGCGAAGTCCTCGCCCATGAAGAATCATTCAGTCGGAATATCCGCTCCAAGTACTCCGCACCCTTCATCGACCTGCACCGCGTAGACCTGCAACAAGCACTCTACGCGCGAGCCAAGGAGCTCGGCGTGATCTTCCATCTCGACGAGAGAGTCAACACGATTGACTTCGACACCACTACCGTCACCACCCTCAGCGGCAGAACTCTTTCCGGGGATCTAATTGTCGCCGCAGATGGACTCTGGTCCCGGTGCCGGGAATGCTACTGCGGGAAAAAAGACGACCCCATTCCCACGGGAGATCTGGCGTATCGGATTGTCCTAACGGCAGACCAGATCTCAGACCCGGACCTGAAAGCTTGGGTTGAGAACCCGACGGTACATTTCTGGATTGGACCTGGGGCACATGCAGTAGGGTATTCCCTGCGCGGAGGGAAGATGATGAATATTGTGCTCCTGGTACCGGATAATCTACCCCCGGGAGTATCTAGACAGACTGGCTCGCTGGACGAAATGATGCGCTTATTCGTGGGTTGGGATCCAGTGTACGTTTGCTTCCCCCCCCCCCCAAGCCAAAAACACTTGAATGATCCCCAAGAAACTGATATCGTACAGCTTAACCCGATTCCTGGGCTACGTGAACGGCGTTGATAAATGGAAACTCATGCACCGTAAGTACACCACCACCCCAACCCGATCCTCCTGTTATCTACTAACCAAATCCGACTCAGACGCCGAAATGGAATCCTGGATTAACGACAAATCCAACCTCGTCTTCATGTACATTGTCCAATCCCCCTTCCCCCAAACCCAACCCACCCACCAACTAATCAACCCAACCAAACCTCCAGCGGCGACGCCTGCCACCCAATGCTCCCCTACCTCGCGCAAGGCGCCAACTCATCCCTCGAAGACGGCGCCGTCCTCGGAGGTCTCCTCGGCCACATGAAACACAAATCCGACCTGCCCGCTATCCTCCGTTTATACGAGAAGCTGCGCAAGTCTCGAGGTGAAGCGATCGTGAGGGAGACGTTCAAGCAGGTTAGTCAGCCACATACTACTGCCACCCCCAACCCCAGGAAAGCACAAATATACTAACCACCAGGAATGTGTAAATAAACAGAGAAACGACTTCCACATGCACGACGGCCCCGAACAAGAGAAACGAGACCAGTTATTCCTCTCTCAGCTGGGGAAGGAGCTCAAGGGGGCTTTTCCGAGTCGGTGGTATGTACTATTAACTAATCCCTTCCCCACCCCATCTTCTTCTGGTTTGAGAAGTAGGAGGGGGAGGGGTAGAAAGTAAGCATATGCTAATACGATAATGTGTAGGACGTGTCCTGAAGTTCAACCATGGCTATATGGATATGATGCAATTAAGGAGGTGGAGAACGTGGTGGAGCAGAATCCGGGGTTGTTTAGTGGTGGTGGTGGTGGTGGTAGTAGTAGTAGTAGTAGTAAGAGGAGGGGGGTTACTTCGCATCTATAGAATGGTGTTCTAGTGGTTGGGTACAGATACAGTATGGAATGGATCCCTAATTTCATCTATCTAGGTTTTTTGATTGGTGGGAGGAGCGTGTTTTAGTAGTTGTCTTCGGTTGTTCTAATTACGTGCTCACTGGGAAACTATCAATAGTAGTTTCATTAGATCACTACTAGATCAGATTCAGGATGTAGGCAAAGAAATAGTAGACTATGAAGTCATCTATCAATTCCACTAACTAGCTATATACAAGTCAAACTCACTATACAAAACTCCCAAGTCCTAAATACCCAGCAATTGAATTGCATAGCACATAGTAAAATATAGTAGTAATACATGGTCACCCATCCAACATCGGCAAACCCCCCAAATCATCGAACAGCCTAGCGATCCCTTCAAAAGAACAATCCGGGAAGCCGAAGCCATATGCCCATTCCTATACCCCCTACGTTAGCAATTCTGCTTTTCCATTTGTACATGAAGCGGGTTGAAGGATCGAAACAACATACCGGAATATCGAACCCTGTCTGGGCAGTACCCGAAGCAGATGCAGCAGCAGCAGCAGCAGCTCCTGGGTCAGTAGTAGAGTCGGCAATTTTGGTTCCATCATTGCTACTAGATGGTGTGTTAGCGGATTGAACATCGATGGGCCGGAATTCTCGCAAATAGTGTTTGATAATTTCGACAGATTTACGCGCCACCACGGATTCATCCATTGCTTCGAGGATCTCGACGGCCATTTCGACGGAGCGGCGGAGCGGGATGGTTTCGGCACACATGCCTAGTTTGGACATGGGAAGGAGGAGGGTGGACGTGGCGAACATGACATATGTGGTGTTGTACCACCTAATTTTGGGTTAAACGGGGTATGAATGGGAGGGTATAGGAAGAGGTATAAGGCAGGCGTACCAGCAGCGGAAGAACGTGTGAATTCGGTAGATATCGTAAATGACTTGGATGGTTTTCATTGCTGCGTCGAGACATTTGGCGATCGTTTCTTCTAGTTCCATAGGGGTATGTCGTAATTTGCGTGTGAAGTAGCTGAGGAATGGTCGGAACAGGAGCATCTTCACGTTGTAGTAGCCTGGTCGGGAAGGTTTAGTGTCTGTGACTGAAACAAATAATGAGGACGTGCAGGGGGGGGGGGGGGGGTGCTTACGAATACCGAGCACTAAGCGTTGCCTTCGTGCCCATTTCGGATCTCTCAACGCCCCTCCTGTTGCTCGTTGAACAATGTCTGGTTTGATCCTGTCCGGCAGTCTCGCCATCCATCGGTCTAGCTCATTTTCAATTTGGAGTGCGAGATGCAGCTTCTCTTGTAACGTAATACGCGAATGGTAAATTTGCACAGACACCTTGCGGATGATGTATGCAAAATCCACCATCCATGGGATAACAGCGTACTCAGAGTCGTCTCTCTCAGGTAGGGCTCGGTTGTGGTACTCATCCATGCCTAGAGTATCCGGACGGCCTACAGAAAAGCTCATTTCACTGGTGTGGTTAGAACCATGACTGAACCGGATGTCCAGAAAGACTTACATCTCCAAAGAGAACAGTCCCCTGCTAGAGTTAGCGTGAGCTCTATCCGAGCAGGGCACGAACTTACCACCACGTCTTTGAAATCCACTCCGAGCGTTGCTCTGTCGAACTGCGCACCTCACGGTTGAACCCAGCAGCCAGACATGTGCGGATAGCCAGTCCCAGGTACATGTATGCCACTAAGCCATGTCAGCTTATCAGCCAAAAAGCAAGCAGCGAAGTAGTTACTTACAGTTCGGATTTAGCTCGTTCTGACAGATTTTAGCCTAGACAAGGTCAGTCCGTATTTCGCCCAGGAAGAAAGCATCTCATACCATAAGGTATAGACACTGCACCGTATCCAGAGTATTCGAGAACTGCAGGTAGTTGAGGTACATCTGGGCCTCCCCAAACAGCTTCCTACTCCATTCGAACCGGGTCAGTCCACCCAGCCTGTCCTCATCCCAGACCCGGACCAGGGCCCCGAACGACAGGATACTCAGATACAAGGCAACAAAACTCGGCTCTGGCTGAACGCCACGATTGAACCAGAGACTGTGCGCCCGAAGCAAAAAGTCCTCCTTATCAATAAGAGGATGAATGAAATGAATATTCTCAAAATAGCCGTTGATGAATGCATGAGCCTGCTCAAAGTAATAATTCTGTTCCCGTAAGGTCAAGGGCTGGGCGGAGCCCGTGCCCGAGGGTGAAAAGCTGGAATTATGCAGCGTCGAGACAATCGAATATCCCGGATCCTCGAGACGTGCGTCCCGTCGCTCCAAGGAGCGTTGCGGTTCCCGGGCCTTTTGGAGATGACCGAGGAGAGCCGTCGAAGAAGTGCTGCCGTGAAATTCGATACCGTTGGTGTGGTGGTTCAGTTCGCTGATTTCATCCCCTACCGACTCCCCAGCTTCGTCATGGTGTTCGTAAATGAAAGGCGCATCTTCTCTCGGCGTGGATGCAGCGCGAGGAAGTGACAATGGAGTCGCCTCAACGCCCACTGGGGGAGGAGGAGCTTGCTTAGGTCCCGAGCTTGGTTGTACTACTACCTTCTGGGACCGCGAGGAATGCTGAGACGTAACGTCCGCCTCTGCCAACCTTAGTCGAGCCGTAAGCTCGTCTACTTTGCGCTCTAGATCAGCGACATATCTGTCTGATGTGTCAGCAAATACCAAGACACGGACTAGCTAGCTAGTTACTATATTGGCGAACGATAATATACATACCGTGCAGACCTGCTGCTTTCGCGTTGACGGTAATTCCCCTGATAGACGCAATTGAGTTGGCTTTCTAGAAAGGAGGTTAGTTCAGGATGGGGCATCTTATCGCGATAGTCGGCATACTTTTACAGTGCGCGCAGGGATACTGCTCGTCGCACTTGTACTTCTTGGCCCTGCAGCGGTCGCATGCTTGTGCAGCGCGAGGGCGTTTGGCCCGCGGCGGGGGAAGAGAATCATCACCCGCGGTGTGAATGGGGGGCGACTCATCCATCATCCATCTAGACGAAGGTAAACGACATAGGGAAAACTGGGGTATGTATCCGAAACGAACTATAAGGACAAGAGTGGAGGCAAATTAAAGATAAGGGGAAAATAGTTGATCGTAGTAGAGGCCGAAGTTAGTCGCAAAAGGATGAAGTTGGAAAAGGGAGACTTGGCCGGGATTTCCGACCGTGAGCATCACGTGGGAACCCTCTGCGGGGTCCCCGCGGGGTGCAGAAGAAATAATAAATTAAATGAAATGAATTCGATTCCTCTCCACTTTTCTAACTAACTAATACAAATAAGGTAGAGCATGACAGGTATCGCTAATAGTTCCAGTTCCAATAGTCGTCACAAGGCTCAATGGAGCCACGCTAAGTTCATGCATCCACGTCATCCAACCTTTCCCCCTTCCCCCTTCTCTCCCCTCTAGAGGTCAATGGTCACATTCAACTCGGACGCCACAGACCCAACCTCCGCCGGGTTCCACTCCGGCACTTGGTCAGGTAGAATAGCACCTTCGAATGGTGTGCCCAACCGATGGATCAAAGTCTCAATGCCATCGCCATCGGTAAATGACCAGACCCGCACATACCGACTGGCAAATCTTAGAGCGAACGCCTGACCGGCCGGGATCACAACTGTCTCTCCTTCGCGGAAAGTTGACTCGGGGCCATCCTTCAGCTGGACGGTCAGTGTCCCCTCCTGAACACATAAACAGTGATCAACCGACTGGAAGGTCAGGAATTTAGAAAGTAGAGTTTCGCCGTATGTCTTAGAGGATTCAATGCTGGAAATGGCGCAGACACCCTGGCTCTGACGGGTGGTGACAAATGGTCGGGACATGACACCTCCCAGCATCCATTTGGGACCCGTGTTGGCGCGCAGGAAATATGGTTGTGACGACTCGGGGAGCTTCTCCTCATCTGCACTCCACTCCCCCAGTGCAGGAGGTTGGTAGTGTGGTTGGAACACGACGTCAAAGTCCTGCTTCGCAGCCATCACTTTTGGTATTAACAGAGCCTTGAGGTCACGATCGTCGCTCTCGGGAACCAGGATACCCTCATAAGGCTCGGACACGTAGCGGAAGAAGTCGACCCAGTCGCCGGGAGTGACGACGCCGTAGGTCTCGGTATGTGGTCCCAGCAGTTCCGGGTTATGAACCACAGTCTATAGGTAGGCATTGGAGAGTCAGTCGTGAGCGAAGAAAGGGAGGACAGGAAATGTAGCAGAGAAATCAAGATCCGACATACAGGAGGAACATAAGCGAAATCTCCAGGCCCCATTATCCGACATTTGTCTCCATTCCACAGTTTCAAGAAGCCCTTGGTCACCAGGAAGACATCATGGGCGTGGTTGTGATAGTGAAAGCCCGGGGCGTCTGAAAGGACAGCCCCGCTCTGAAAGACAGCCATGAGGCCATTGGTCTGCTTAGAGGAAGCCAGGATACGAAAGGCTCCTTTGCTCCCCGGAATCGTGATGCGTTCACCCTCCAATTGCGGGATCGCATAAGGAACCCTCCCCTGCGGGGGCTTTTCAGTGAAAGACAAGGCCATGTTGTAGGAAAATCAGAGCGTTACTTAATGAGTAAGGAAAGGACAAGCAGCTTTTGAGTTCAGGGGCAGTCATGGTTCCTACATATAGGTTTCTGGGGGAAACAGCATTCGGAACCTGAGGTGGAGTGATCGTCCTCACGTCTTGCCCCAAACTCCAGACTCTCATTGCCGGCTGTCGGATATGCCGTGGGATGGGGGGAGGTCGGGATATCCGGGGGTGGGAGTGACAGAGACGTAGCGAAAATGGTTCCTTAGATCATTCAAGAGGAGAGTGGAGGGGGCGAATGAAATGATCCTTGCACTTGTTCGCATCCGAGGCAAACCAATGGTCCTGAATCCAACATGGAGAGAAGCTCGGGAAAGCTCACCCCGGGAGCTGACGTCACTCCATCCAAGCATCTGGCAATTCATTTCCCTGTTGGTATCTGGCGTGAAACAGTAAGTACATCGAAACGAAGTCCGACGACGATGGACTATCGTGACATGGTGCGCAATCAAAAACCCTCCACAGGTTTCCTGCATGGAAGGCCATGCTTCTTTCTATGTCCTGATGCGCCTGCACTTCGCCAAAAAAGAAACCCCCGCAGACCCGTCCTTATGGTCCTTCATAAATCAAAAAGGTTACGATAGCGCAACACATGTAAGCAGTCAAATGAGTGTCCGAAAACCAACTGGGCACACGGGCGACCAGCGCCCTTTTTCCGACGTCCCTAAGAATCCTCTATACCGTCCGTGGTGAATTAGTCCCTGCCCCGACGTGTCCGCCTGAAGAGCTCTCGTCGCTGTCCCCCGACCGCCTTCCGTTCCCAATAGGCCTGGTATCTGAGGATAAGGTGGATGAGCTCCTGCTCAGAGATGACGGCGAAGCAGGGACAGATGAATTCGGCGTGGTGCCTTGTGATGTTCCAGCAGAGCCCTTGAATGCTGCCGCCGCAGCGGCCGGATTGCAGTGAGGACATATGAAGACATTGAACCCACGGCCGTTGCAGCTACTACAAACGGAGTTTCTGATCCCGATTAGCATTGGCAACACGATCCAAGAATGATTGGATGCATTGACTGACCGTGGTGCGTTTCCCGCACAGCTTCGGCATGTCACCACTGTCCGCCCCCCAATGCAGGAGGTATGCCCCGGGTCTCGTTGATACATCAGTCCGGCTTGATGAGGCATTTCTTCAGAAACGAGGACGAGATGGTAATATGTAGTCCAAGAATAGGCTATGCTCAGAAACTGGTTCCACAACCTTAGAGAGGGGTTGATACTTTGATCGGACAGAGAGAAAGAATCAAGAGTCGGATATGCTTCTTCCCAATACCAAACGCAGTATTTGTAAGGGGGACCACTGGGCTTATCAATCATCAAGATGAGACATAGAATCGGCGAAGATTCCCAGATAGGAAGGTAATGAGAAAGAAAAAAGCAAAGGCGAATTGCTTCAGTCAAATCATCCCGCTCCCTGCTTAGTGCCAAGGGCAAGCTCGCGGGGGACGGGAACTGTAAGACTCATTCGGTCATCGATGTGTGCTACCAGCTCTCGAGTCAAGACAACTTCGTATCAGCAACGTCAAATTATCTGTCAAAATTTCATCCTCCGAGCAAAATTCAAGGCACGAAGACTCAGTCACATCCAGAGATTTTTCATTTTCGATATGCCGCACCAATAACATGAGACCGGACAGTGCAGCATGGTCCCAGGATCATAAAGGGGCCGCAGAGACAGCCCCAGGCCACCTGAGGAGATGCAGGATGTGCCTGTCGGGCGTGTCAACACCTCCGATTTCTTTAAGGAAAGACTCCGCGCCCCAGTGGGGCCTTTTCTGCAATCTTGATCCATAGGGCCGGGTCCAGTTTATGGGCGTTGTGCCGGCCGTTGCCAACCAGACCAGGTGCCTAGATGCACGACTTGCCCAAGCGTATCGGACAATGATGGATCTCGATTATCATTGATTGGGCGACCGAATAGGTGATTATGGCTGCATGGTGCGCTTAGTCGAAAATATAGACGTCGGTTCAGGCTCGAGTATGTGACCAAGCAGAAGCCGGAAATGTTATACGGCGGGAATACAAGACCCAAAAGCATGGCAGCCACGGAGAATTGTGTTACGCGACTAACAAGAATCGCTAAGCTCGGCAAGCATCCTAGGTCAACTGCTTTCAATGCGACGTGGCCCTTTAAGCCTTTCGCTGACCTCCCATAACGGATAAGCGCAGTGCGACACGCACTTACACGATCATGGCTGGCAACAGATTATGATAACGCGGAATTTTGTTCCAGCGATGTGTTGTGGTCGTAGTGACACTGGACTAGCAGCCATACAGAGTCATCGACGTTCGTCAATACCGTATGCCTTGAGTTCACCCTGGGGCTTCTCCCTATATGTTGGTATAGTCGTAGGGTGTTCCATGCACGAAGCTGCGTCTCAGCCGGGCTGTTCACCCAATCATTTCATGGCACATGAATAGGCTTCGGATAGTCTTGACACTTTCTGCCTAACTCTGTGGCCCTGTAAGCTACGCCTCAGCTTATACTCTAGTCGGAATACTCCGTAGGCCTTCCAATGTGCCCGCAAGCGATGGAGCAACGGTCGTGCGGCGTTTAGACCAATTTAGCGGCAGCGCCACTGCCCATGCGCTAAAAGCTGTCTTCTTATCCCCTGAATATAGGGAATATGGAGACTGAGGAAGGCAAAGAAGAAATAGCGAGTCAAATCCGCGAAGAGTGAGGGAAGGGGAAGTTTGTTCATGCGTGCCTGTGAACAATGGGCACAGTGTGACGGGAGCCATGAAACCGCAGGGGCATGAGGACACGCGGACAAGCGCCCTCGAAAAAAAAGAAAAAGAAAAAGATTTAGTAGAGAAAATAAAAATAAGAATAAAATTTAAAAATAAAATGAGAAGGAATAATCACGGGGAGAGGGAACAAATGAGAATAGTAGATTACTGGACGATAAGATAGTGATTTTTGCAGGCCGTAATTTCCGCGCCTCGCAAGTGGCAGTTCATTCCCGATTTCTGCAGGTATCCGGTTCTCACTTCTCAGGAGGGGAAAGGAAAGGAAGATGGCGATTCCATCGCAACTGCAGTGCAGCGATGATTGCTCGGCTTTGGGGGCATTAATCTTGCGTCGTCCTCATTAAAAGGCAAAGGAAATTTTCTTGCCTGGACCAATGGCCGAAGATCCTGGAGGTTCTTTGAGTGGCCTGCGTCTGCGGATTGGTCACATGTTATAAGAATCCCTGTCCATATCATGGGATTCGAACTGCGGTTGGAACTCACGCAGTTCATGGCGGGAAACTTGCTCGACTTTGATGCTTCTGCCGCAGGTACGGAGTACGGAACACCTACTTGAGCCCTAGTGGTTTTCAAGGGACCGATCTGCCCTTACTCAGGGATCCTAGACCGAGGCGAAGGATGGCTAACAACCCCAGTGACAATGCCATCCATGTGGTCCATTTCCGTTTCAGTCACGGGTGGATCCTACAGTCAGGGAAACCGAAGAGACTTGTGGACAAAGAAAAGAAATGAAACGAAAACCAGAAAGAAGAAAATATGCAAGGTTGGGTGGCTTACAGGTAAGGTAGGAGTGGAGGACGGCAAAGTTGGGTCTCAGTCAGATCAATGGTCGGTGAGCTGCAAGTATCCGGCAGACATCACGCGCACGACTGACGACCCAACTTGGAATTTTATTAGGGCACATAATCGTGGCCATTGTTAACCTGCCCGACTCACAGGAAAAGTGCTGGCCGGGATAGAGATCCCTGGAAGGAGAAAAAGCAAAAGCAGGGTAGGCGAAGGAGTTCCAACCTTGAACTCAAGGCACGGCCACGGGACAGGGACACTACCCAGGGAAACTGGATGCGACTCGCGCGCTTGACGGAGTGGAACTGCTGCTGGAGGCACCGTTTGTCGTACAGAGAAAAGCAAAGCTGGGAGGAGGAAGAAAGAGTGACGTACGGCAACTTGGCCGGCCGAACGGTCGGACACCTTCAATGGTTGTTGCCCTTCAATGATAAGTTCTACTCTGGGTGCACGACGACCCCGACAATGAGGGGAAGTAAAGGAGGGGAGGGAAGGTGGAGAAGAAGAAGAAGCGGTAGCAGCTCCTCTACGGCAGATCAGGATCAAGAGGAAAATGCAGAGACAGAAAGAGAGAGGGAGAGAGGGGGAAAGTAACGAACGAAAAGCCTTGATAGAGGCGCCGACGTGGTGGTCATGGTCGACTTCATGGCGGTCACCAAGCCAATAGGCCAATAGGCCAATAAGCTCCGCTCAGCAGGAAGAATCAGTATGACCCCCCGGTCATAACTAAAAGCCGGCCCACCGATCATGAGAGCGAGAAGAGCCTGCCTTGCGGCCGTGGTTACATTGGCCCGTCTCATCCACCCCGGAACAACACTAACTAGTGTGCCACCGGAAGAACTGGCTGTATTATTTGCTAGAACAATAATTACATCCAGGTTTGCGGGGGCTGGCTGGTTGTACCTCGGTTCTGAAGAAGCCCATTAGAGCAGGAAGATAAGAAACAGCGAGAAACAGGCCCAAATACTAAACATCGGAAAAGTGAAAGAAAGATAGGAAGAGAGAAAAAGAAAAGAGCCAGAGAAGCAGCACCCGCCATATCCCAATCCGGAAAGGTATGAGAAGAGAACGCCGATAGCACCACGTACTCGGTGTGGTTCATAAGCACCGTGTTTCATAGCAGAAGCGCATAGTTTCCAAAGCGAACGGCCAATTCCGGGACAACTCCTGTTCTTTACTGAAAGTAATCTGGGGGGAGCGACGCCAACGCAGCGATAGTACCGAAAGCACCGATGGCTACACCCAAAGCAGCACTTGCAGCATGGCTGGCAAACCTCCCCGTACTAGAAGTCTTTGCTCGCTTTGTAGGAGGTGCGGTCGTCTCGGCATCATTGATGGAGTCGTCAACTGACGGCAGCTCCTTCGCACTGTCTAGCTCTGCCAACTGGGATGGAATTTCCAGTTGGTCCGTTGGCATCTGTGGCTGAGCATCCGGATAGCAAGTCTCTTGGTCAGACGATTGGCTATCGCTTGTCACAGCTGAGTCAACCCCGTTTCGATGATAAGTAGCAACGTCTACCTCGGAACTCCCAGACGGGCCATCAATCTCCTCCGCCTTCCTTTTCAGTGGCTTGTTTGCGGGAACGCTATCTAATCCTGTCTCGGACCTTTGCATCTGTGGCAATGGTGTTGGATTGGGATCTGGCTGTTTCTGAGGCATGGGTGTCTCCTGGATTTCTTGTCCGTCGCTCGAAGCTGCTTCCTGGCTTATAATCCCAGGGATAGCCATAGACGCAACGACTGAATCATTTCCACGGTTACAAGTAGGATCAGTCTCACCAAGCAGGAACGACTCGTTGTTGACAAAGGGTCCGTCAGCGTAAGGCACTTGCGGAGTTGGGGGAATATGCAGGGAGTATGAAGTGTTTGCAGTGGTTCGTGGATTCCACCAGTCCATGTGCATCATTGGCGGGTTACTCTGGTAGCTAGGTAGCGAACGATCGACTGTCTTTCCGTATGGAGATGATAGAGTTGGCTGCAATAAGATTGGCGGCGGTGGAGCTTCGGTCGAAATTATTCTGGAAGGGCCAGTGCTCTCAGAACGCAGATCTGATGTGGAATCCCTAACGGCGAGCAACTCCGGCTCACACGTCTCAGCGTCACATGCCATATCCTCCCCATTTCGATCGTTGAATTCGGGCCTGGACGCATCATTTCCAGATGGCAAGCGGGCATTTGTTTCCTCCACAGCATAGCTCGCCTCTGATGCTATCAAGTCGCGAATCCCCAGAACATGAAGGCTGCTCGATCTCACAGACTCCTCATCTTCATGGGACTGTTCCGCATTGGATCTGAACGACAACTGGGAATCAACCTCGTCATCTTTGTCGTCATCCGAACCAGCATAGTCATCTTCGCCCCAGCTGGAATCCTCGTCGTCAGAGGTATTCATTGCAGACGCACTGTCCGCCTCCTGGATGAAATCATCAAAATCATGAGCCGCGTTACTTGGATCGTCGAGAAGATCTATGACGGAGGGTGGGGTCATCCGGGGAGTTACCAGAGGCTGTTCATGTTGTCCATGCTCGAGATCAATAGGGCTCAATTGGGATCCTTGCTGGCCATCATGTCTACCCACTTGATCTGTATCTGAGCAGGCACCCACGTGGGAATTTCTTGCGTCGTCCCTCTTCAGAGGGGACGTCAAAGGCGACGAAACCTCCATGACGGATTGGTCGTCTGAATCTGAATCGGGGGTGGAGTTGTCAATCTCGGAAGCACTGTCGGATGCAACCACCATAGGAACGGAATCTTCTTTTGCATCACTGTCATCATCATCAGGAACACAAAAGGTATTGGTTGCAAGGGCGGTTGTTTGGCTGTCCATGGTGTCAGCACTGCTCAAACTAGGCGGGACACATGGGGCATACAAAGGGTCAGGCCATTCGATTTCACAACGAACTTTTAGTGGAGGGAAGGTATCTTATATGACACGTCAATAACCCATCTGTACCTTTCTCAGTAGTCGGGCAAGACTCACCAGAGCCACGATACACTGTGGAGCCAAAGGTGACCACGTCATCATGTTTGATGACAGAGTCCTCTTCTGTTGGGATTTTCCTCCCATTTATCCAGGTACCATGCATCGACCCACCGTCACGAATGTAGACAAGCTAAACAAAGTTCAGCCTATTTTCGCCTGAAGCCCAACTACCTGTAGCTGAGATGATAGCCATATAGAAGAACATACCTGCTTGTCGAAGCACACCCATAGCTTGGCATGGTTGCGTGACATGACCCTCGATTCAAATAATCCATTGTTTCTGGCGGGGATAAGATTCTTTGATTCACGCTTAGAAGCCCGACCAATGTTGACTGGGTTATTGGTAGAAGTGAACTCTAGGGATCGATATGGCAAATCATCGGATACGGACAAAGGGCGGAGAGTCACAATAGCTGCCCGAAGAACAGGTATTAGTTCGATTTGGCTTCGGTGCGTATAGACTGGTGCAGAGCAGACACTTACCCTGTGTGGCAGGCATGGTGATAAGTGGTGGTGCCGTCAGCACAGAGAGATAGAGCGACAGTTATTTAGACGTGCAGTGCAGTCTGGATCGAACCAAGGTATCAGTGTCTTATATCTCAGACTCCCCAGCGCTTGAACGGCAAGACTGGATGCCAGAAACCTGACAGGCTGCCTGAGCGCTTACCTACTCAGCATCAACATCAACCAACAAAACGGCAGAGAATGAAAGACGGATCTGAGTGTAGCCTTTGAAGGTAGATGAAGACCACGATAGCGTCGAGAGGGGAAAGGCAGGGAAGTGATGAGGTGTTTACAGCAGGCTGACGAGGCTGCCAACGGGGGAACCCAAGGAAGCTTTGGGTAGGAGGGGCAGGAGCATACGACCGACCCGATGGGATCAGCCTGAGGTCAATCAATGGGCGGTCGCTGTCAGGCACCCGGGAAACGTAGAAGAAAAGTCACTGGCTATGAAATCGTACCAAAGTGTTAGTCCCAGCAGTGAATGTCAGAGGCAGCCTAGACAGTCCCCAGATATTGCCTGCAGGGAAGGGGGTTTGACGGCGATCAGGCAGAGGGCGCTGATTCATAGTGTATTGATAAGAAGAATAAGTAGGAAGGGGCCGTACCTAGCTTACTACCACTCAGGTTTGGTTCACGCAACAAAAGTGAAAGAGGTAGTTTAACACACCTCGGAAGGGACTGAGACAGAGTCTCACTCACAAGAAAGATGGAGAAAGAAGTAGGAGAGGCATCACTCAGCAGACAAGCTGTTGAATGAGTGTCAGATAGGGACTAGATGAGTCGAACGATAACATGTTCGGACAAGATGGATGACGCCGATGCGGGCGAGAGAGCGAGTGCTGATAGGCCGACGGGTGGGGGGAAATACCCGTCAGGTGGACCAGCACCTTTTAGTTTAGTCGGGCGGAGTACAGGAGAGGTAAGATTGAATACTCAAAATGGTGATCCAGTGACTTGCCATCTATCTCCCCCCTCATTCGACCCGACCTGTCACCCATCATTTACTTTAACTCGTTCTTGACTTGAAGTTATTCATCCCACGATTGGCTTTCCCTATACTATGGTACATACATACATCGCTCGTGCTTGCCCCTCTTCCCAAACCGACATGCCGGATAGAAAGTATATGTGTATCTTCCGGTCCGCAGACCTCTCTCATCTCTCATCATGCCCGCATTTCTTGTTCGATAAAAGAGCCCAGTGTGCCCCTCCCAGAACCAATGGAGAGAGCTTGGAGACAAACAGAGAGGGGGGAGAAAAACCATCTCGCAAACAGAAAAATGGAAACACGGTCGCAACAGGAGATAAAACAGTATATCGGCACAAAATGAAAACAAAAGATCCAGACGTCAAATAAATCGAGAAATAAAAAGAAGAAAAAGAAAAAGAAAAGAAGTCCTTATAGTAAATACACACAGATGAATGGTTCAGGCGCCCATGCACCTACCAGAGCAGACCAGGCATAAGCTACGGCCTGCAACGCTTCAACCACCGGAATTCCAAGACAGAAGAGAATGAGGGAAAATAGATTAGGTCGTACACGTCTTTTGGCGTCTTGACGGGTGTAAATAATGATATATCAGGACTCAATCTTACAGAGAGGGAGGGGGGGCAAAGCCAGCACCCATGCCTTGCAGACGGGCAGCAAGCTGGGGGTACTTCTCCTGGACTTCCAGCTGCGTGCGGGTGGCCTCGGCATAGGAGATGGCATTGATGATCTCCGCCTCGGTACGAGCAAGCTCAGCGGCGCGCTCGAAGTACTTGAGGGCCTGCGAGACCTTGCCCTGCTGCAGCAGAAGCTGGGCCATCGTTCCTACGGCGATATCGCATTCGGGGTCGACTGCAAGCCTGTTAGTGTTCCAAGATCTCTCCACTTTACAGCGAAGGTTCGCAGGACTTACTGATCAAAGCTTTCTGGCAGAGGTTCTCGGCCTCCTGGAAATCGTGCTTCCACTGGAACAAGGCAAGAGCCTTGTTGATCAGGGGCAGGACGTTAATACCCATAGGCTTGCTCTGCTTCTCCATCTCCACGGCCTTGTCGAACTTCTCAATTGCCTCCGAGAAGTTCTGCTGGTCGAGGAGAAGTTCACCGTAGTAGTTGTAGACATCAGGCACTTCTTCAAAGTTCTTCACGGATCTTCTGAAAGTGGCCATGGCGGACGCAACGGAGCCCATCTTGTACTGCGTAACACCAAGCTGAATGTGGGAGTAGATGAAAGTACGGTCGAGGTCGATAGATTTCTGGTAATCCTTAGCAGCCTCGGCGAACTCTCCGAGGATGAAGTGAAGCTGGGCGCGGTGGTAGTAGATGTCGGGGTCATCCTTGTTGTGGGTGATGGCGAGCTCGAAGTCGTCCGCAGCGGCGTCCTTGTTTCCTTTTCGACCTGTCAGCAAAGCATCTACCAAACGAAGAGGGCGTTTAACATACCGAGCTCGAGGTGCAAGCTGGCACGCTTGATGTAGCTCTGAACCAACGACGGCTGCAGCTCAACACTCTTGTTGAGGTCCAACAATGCGGCCTGAGCGTTACCCTCGAGATAGGTGAAGGTGGCTCTCAGGTTAAGAGCAAGGGCTTCGTATTCACCCAAGTCTCCGAGCTCCAGAGCCTTCTCAAAGGCAGAAGCAGCCTCCTCGTAGCCATCACCAGTCTTCAGGGCCATTGCAAGCAGACCCTTGCGGAGTTGACCCTTACCGGAGTCGTCGCTCAGATCCGCAGACTCATCGAGGCCTTCGGGCAGTGCCTGGGGGCGGAAGCTCTGGAGATAGTTCGAAACGAAGGTCGGGCTAGGGAGCTTCTTGCCCTTCGCCTCGATAATGGCCTTTCCTTTCCTCTCGGCAACCTTCTTCAGGAGTCTTTCCAGAGCAACACGGCTGATCTCGTTGGAGAAGCCGTCGATGATGCAGCTGGCAGTGAAGTCAAGAAGAGCCTCGCTGAACTTCTCCAGGTGTTCGTATGCAATGGCTCTCCGGTTCAGGGCCTTGACGTACTCACTGTCCATGGCGAGAGCGGCACTGGTATCTTCGACGACCTTCTCCCACTCCGACAGAACGTTATAGCAGGCGGCACGGTTCGAGTAGAAGACCGGATCGGGCTTGCAGAGAATGGCCTTTCCGTAGAGCTCAATGGCATTGTTATAGTCCTTGGAGCCATACGCCTTGTTTCCAGCAGCCTTGAGCTTGGCTGCGTAAGCCTTCCTTGTCTTTGAATCCGGTATTAGCATTTGCGGTATCGGCGCCTGGGGGTGTTTCCATCGTAAAAGGCCAAAGACTTACCTCTTCCGACAGCTGTGCAACTGATTCCTCGTCAACTTCTGGGAGTTCTTCAGAGGCTTCCTCCGTCTTCTTTGCGGCAGGCTCTAAGGAGATCGTCAGCCCGAATCGGATGCTTGTCGACGAGAGAGGCAGAGTGTGGCTCTCTTCAACATACCCTCTTGAACGGAGGCAGCCTTGGCCTTCTTCTCCTCTTCTGCCTTCTTCTTTTCCTTTCTTCTCTGGTTCTTGCTCTTCTTCTTCTCTGTGGAAGGGGCCGGGGTAGTCCGACCTGAGTCGGAGAGGTAGTAGACGACACCCGCGCTGGTCACGACCACAGCAACACCGGCAATGGTGTAAACAAGGGCCTTATTTTCCGACACCCATTTCGAGATGCGGTCCCAAACTGATGCTGATGAAGATGGGGGAAGAGAAGTCGTGTCAAGAACGACGTTCTTCGTAGGCTGTGGCAATGGCGACTGGCTTGACATGATGACCCGACAGAGGAACCCGTCTTCTTATCGCTTTTCCTATAAATCTACGAGTGATCTCGGTCAGCACCGTGACAGCAAATGGGCCTGGGAGGGAATTGATAGGGAGCACGGACGGTCCTGAGTGCAGAGCAAGTGCTTGTCGGCAGGGCGGACAACTTGTCTTGGGGTTGGGAGAGAGCGAGGAGAGATGCGGCTTGAAAAGTTATGCGTTGCGATGTTCAGGTTCCGGCGACGCAGCGGGCTTTCCGAGCTGGTTTGGGCCAATCACACTCGCCGCAAGGGGATGGGCTCCGTCAGCTCCTGCTTTCTCCACAACATCATCATCCGTGATTCCAAGGCAAATGGGACCAATGTCTCGTCCTCTGTGCTGGATCATGACCATCTCACATAGCTCAGGCTGGCGCGAATCAATCTTCTCAATTGCGCAAACCCCCTTTTTCTAGTGTGCGACCGTCTAATTTGCCGAGGTGCCAACAGCACGGCTATCACTTGCTAACAGCTCGGTGCTCTGTCTAGCTCATACTTACAAGTGCCAGTCTTGTCTACTACCCTCGGTCGCAATTGCCGCGACGGCAAAAAATGGCCTCGGAAGTGCTGCCACAGGACTTCAAAATCATATCGTCTCTACGCTACGATCCTGCTCTTTCAACGATAGGCAAGCGGGCAGCGGCTAGAACAACACCCGATCCATTGACCACACCGTATTATCTCCTCCCTTACCACCAAGAACGCCTTCGAAATGCAGCGGCATGTTTCGGCTGGGGAAAAGCTCTCGCCTTCCTGAAACAAGACACGAATCAGTTCGTCGAGTTTCTTAACACCTTCATTCCGGACAACACCAAGCCATGGCGCCTCCGAATTCTCCTCGATAGCACGGGCACTTGCGAGGTTGAGGTCAACCCGACGACGTCAATGAATCCGCTGAATTATCTAACTCCAACCGAAACGAACCTTCAGTCCACTGCCTGGCGTGTATACATCGATTCCGAACGCATATCCCCATCCGTTTTCACCACACACAAGACTACGGCTCGCGACTTCTACACAGCTGCACGACTCCGATCGGGAATAGTTTCTTTTGTAGAGCCTGCGGAAGTTCTTCTGGTAAACCCGGCGGGTGAGATCATGGAAGGAAGCATTACAACACCATACTTCAGGCGACGAGATACGAGGGACGGGGAGGGAAAGCCAGCTTGGATTACACCGCCGCTTTCCAGCGGTGGCAATGCGGGTACAACGAGGCAATATGCTTTAGCACAGGGATTCTGCGCCGAGGATACAATTGCAGCTACTGACCTAGTGGATGGCGAGGAGTGCTGGCTCAGCAATGGTGTCCGAGGTTTCATCCGCGGTCAGATTGTACTAAGAGGAATCGACGAGCCACATGCCTAACGTCTATCTAAGCCAGACAATAGATGGATTTCCGAGTAGAGTCGAGGATAACACCCGGTTATCTCGGGCCCCGACCGTGTGAGAGACGAGGATTTCCCTATCGATCATGTAGGCGTATGAGCTTGCAGACATGTGTCACACTTGTTGACACATCTTATGCATAAAAGCACCAAATAGTGCTCCGCACCTATTGTCATTATATTGCAGGGCCACGTATGATTCCGACTGTACTGCACCCTGCTATGACGAAAGGTTGTTATGAGATAGAGCATAAATAGTACAGGCAGAGCACTGTTGAATTATGCTAGTACCTCTATGGAGTCCGAACTGGGTGCTCACTACTACAGTAGTAGTACTACCGAGTAACTACCCCTCATACTAATAGTATGCTATACAATTGAGTGTGACTAGCAGTGAGTATTACTATTAAGTACTCTGCTGTTAGCCTGTTACTACTACTAATCATACTGGTACTAGGTCCAAAAAGCTTGGCTGTCATGGCTCCTCCGTTTCGTCACAACTCGGCACTAGTAGTAGTTATGGTTAGTGATTGAAGTACTTAAAGTTATACTACTAGTAATACTAAATACTATTGCTGGAACTATGTACAGTACTATATGTGGAATAATCAACTAGTTGGAGATACTTACTATCACTACCAGTATATACTTACAACCCGGATATATAAAATGGCGGAGGATGGCTGGTTAGTAGTTCCGTTGTCTTTGGAATACTACTACTATCACAAGCAGAGTGATTGTCCTGACGTCAGAAATTCGATACCTCAAGTATGATCATACGAGGATCAGCAAAGACTTTGCTGTCTGCCACACAGTCCTGGTCTATAGTAGTGCTTTGTAGCTGAAGAAAACCGGGAGGACTACTAAGTACTACACGATGATTGGCCAGTCGGGAGACAATCAGATGATGCACCGGCCCATCCCCGCATTACCAAACAGGCTTAGCGGCGAGCGGCCAGAAGCTGACAGAAATTCTTCCCAGTCGGAGGCTCGGGCAGATTCGTCCGGCCACTGAGAAAGGCGATTGAGCAGGCGAGCACTGCAGTTCACTTTAAACCAAGCAGCATCCCCAACGCCACCCTGTGCTCCAGTTCCATCCTCTTTCTTCCCCAAGTTGGTGTAACTTCCTCATTTCAATTATCCGATCCACTCTGTATGCATCATTCGCAATTATGAAATTCTTCGAGAATGTCTTCACCTACGACTATTCCTTCCCGGCCGTGTCGCTGGCCTACTTCCTTCGCTATCCCAACCCGTATTCTCGCCATGTGCTGACCACCGATGTCATTGACCGTTATGTCGATCCGACGACTCAGCGTCTCCACACCACTCGCCTCCTCCTCAAGAAATCCAAGGTTCCCTCGGGAATCCTCAAACTCCTCCCCAAGGGGATTGGCGGCTCAGACAATTCTGGCCAGAGCTATATCCTCGAAACGACTGTTGTGGACGCCAAAGAGGGCTGGATGCAGACGGAATCTCGTAACATGGAATGGACTGGGATATTGAGCGTGGTCGAGAAGCAATTCTACCAGCGTCAGCCCGAAGGTCCGCTCGGCACTCTGGAAGGGCTTTCCCTCGACGACAAGAAAAGCGAGCAGACTACGGTGCGCACTACAGTCACTTTCCGCTCTAAATTCGGACAAGGAAAACTGCTAGGCAGAAGGAAGACGGAGCCGAGTAGCGATCACACCGGGGATTACGAAGAAGAAGCTCCCAAAAGAGGCCTTTTCACCTCCCTGTCCACTGCGGGAATCCAACGCACGATTGAGCTGATTGGATTGAACCGCACGCGGGATGCCGTGCTCAAGAGTAAGCAGGGTATGAACGTGGTCCTTGAGCGCTTGCGCAATGGCGGTATCGTAGGTGTTCTCGAAGGGATGCGTCAAGATCGGGAAGCAGCGTTCGGGCCTGAGGGCGGTCCCTGGAAGCGAGTTTGGCTATCCGGCCATGGGCACGCGTCTATTCAAGATGACGACAATTGATTCTGAACTTCTCATCGAACTGGAGAAAAGGCGACCAACACGGGAAATATATGTGCGACATTCAAGCGTGGAGCTCTGGCGTTTTGGGGGACTCTCATTTCTTTCTTGCTTTTGACGGACAATCTCCTACCCTTCTGAAACTTTTCTTTTCATTTCATTCAGGGTCATACTCTGAAAAAATTTCTGACTATTTTGACACCTGCATATTATCTCACCATGTATACAACGAGAAACGTCACGGATCAAAACCTTGTGTATATTAGGAAAGGGCGGCCAGTCGGATACTCTTGCTGAATTCGGTTGCACCTCTGTACAATATCGATGCAATTCACATTCACTTCTTTCACTTGCTTCTATTTCCTGTAGTTGCATGTCTCCCAAGACGACCACATTGGCTTTCTTTGAAAGCCCTGTTCGGCTTACACTTCCCTCACTGATACTTCATCTTGACTTCTGCCCAGCCATCCTTTCACGGAAGAGTGTCTCTCACCCTTGAAAGATCCTCTGGTTACCAAATACCGCGAGATAGTCTGCCGGACGCCATCGAAGCTTGCCAGCAGGGACTGCAATCAATTGATTGCAGGAGACGACGGCCAATAATCAGAGACGAACGGTCAGGAAATGCACGTGACCACGACCTGAACCAGAACGTGGTATCCTTTCCGTGAGAAACTCCTTGAACAGCTGGATGAGTTGGTGTGACCCCTGCGGACTAAACACGAGCCCATGAACCTTTTACCAGGAACTAACATGAAACGATTTATTCCAGCTGGCTCATAAGCTGTTGTACTATCTCGGTTCCTGTCTTCAGATTGTCCGCATCCAAACACCCCAGGAATCCCTACATAGATTAGACCCGACACCGGAAGATGGAACGGCAACTACCGACGCGTGGGGTACGCGTTTATGATTCTCAGATAGCACCAGAACGCCATGGAGTGAAGCATGAATATGAAGATCCGGTTACGCCTTTTGCGGACGGTACACAAGTAAGCGAGGGTTTCAGATTCCTACCTGTGCCTACAGAGACGGATGATCTTCAAACGACTTGCACGAAGCTTGAAGAGCTAGCTAAAATAGTCGAGCAAGGAAACAGTCTCGCACTATTCACGGGACTAAAACTAGCAACATACCCATCGAAAAGCGACCCGGAGAGCGTGGCCATGAGCCAGCTGACATCGGAAGAGCTGTGGATGTATGAGACTTGGAAGGAGATGAAGACGAGACAAGACACCGAGTCTAAGAACGGTGACCGTTCCTGCGACGAAGGGGATAGCAATGGTATGAAGCTCCCGTACTTCGACTGGGAGCAGAACGTGGCGCCGGTGCCCCAGGGAGCTCATAGTCTCAAGAGGTTTACGCAGCGGGCGGCGGCCATGGACGTGGTCTTTGGCCATCGAGGCGCTACACCTGAGAATGCTTCCTGGCTTACGTCGCACATGATATTTATGTTACCCCTTGTAAAAGCTGTCACCAAGGTCACCAACATCACGAAGAACCTTAAAAACAGTCATCAGTCTCGCCAGACGCGTGGATTGACAGACATGGAGGTGGCCGAGGTTGAAACGGCACGCAAATTGGTCTCTATTGCGAACAAGAATCGGGCTCGAGAAATGGAGAAGATTCGCCGGTTGATGAAAACGATCGAGGGATATGCGTCAATACTCAGAGAGCGCGCTGAAGCACTGGAGAGACTGAGGCACACCTCGACTATGCAGCGTCGGTGAAGGTATACTGTGGGATCTATTTTTATAGATCAGGCAGAAGAAACCCAGACAATGGAGGAAAGATCAAAGGGTTGTGAGAGACATCTCCAAGGCACGCGACCTCGTATAGAGGGCCTTTTGCCGATGGAACCCGTAGACTTGCACTTGTTACCGTTCGTATGTGCTTATCAGGATACGAAGGGGTAGCAACGAACATAGGAAGTTATAGTACCATAGTAGTATTTAGCACCCGCTAACTAGTTAAGACTCCACAGCAAATATGAAAATGGGGTATGAGCTCCCCATCTCGTCTTCTTTGACTCCTTAGACTTCCCTCTGTCCCATCGGTATGTTCATAACCACTCAATTGACGTCGGGAGACAATCCGACAAAGGCAAAGCTCGAACCCACAGGCAACCTCTAACCGAAGTAACCAAGTATGGTCCAATTGTTTTTTGGGAAAAAAATACTCCAACTTGGCAGTATTAGGCAGCTGCTGAACTTAGTATCTACCTGTAGTACTATACTACCATGCTAAGCCCCGATTATAATATCACGATAAGAGGAGAGGAAGTTAGAGGGGAAGGTATTCCGGAATGAGTCCCTTGTCACTCACCCACCAGCCCACCCACTTCCGAGAATCCCGAGGCTGAGTGAGTGGGTGAGTGAGTGAGTTCTTCGAACGAACCGGAAGCGAAGCGAAAGGAAGTGTGAAGAACAGGAGGAGGAGTTTTCTTTCTTTCTTTCTTTCCCCCTTATCCTAGGCAGCCAAGATCATCGGATGGATCTATCTACTAATGACCAGTGGCATTTAGGTATGTTGTGAATGGATTGGAAACGAACTGTTCTCTAATCTAAAAAGAAACTAGAATAAATTAAATTTAGTTACTTGGTGATATGGGTAGGGGGGTTCGCGACTGACTAGGCAGCAAGCAAGCATACCCGAGAGAGAGAGCCCACATGCTTTGGTTGGCCGAGCGAGCGAGCGAGCGAGTCAGTCAGATAGTGCAGGCAGGCAGGCAGGCAGGCAGATGGATCGATGGTTGGAGAATGTAGTTAGTAGTTATTTAGGGCATTCCGGATGGATGACCTCATAGGCATTACTGTCGCATAGTTAGTTAGAACTACGTACATGGATGGCATTTCATTTAATTGATCCCTGATCCTGGGAGACGGGATGAGATGAGATGAGATGAGATGGGATGGGATGGGATTATGAGGAGAGGGGTAGATAGACTAGGACTCTCAGCTCTCAATGTGCATGCATGTAATGAATGCATGAATGAACAACCCTTTCTCTTGAATGGAATGGTATAGATTTCATTTCAATGATACCTACATTAACAGATAGATTATCGGCTGACTGAAGTAAGTAGTAGATAACTGAGTACTGTGACTATCTATCAGGTGGTTAGTTGCACATAGTATGGTAACTAACTAAGTAAGTAGTAAACCAACAGAGACAGAGAGAGAGAGAGAGAGTGTGTGTGTGTGCCTCCTACTGTGTAAGTATGTAGTACGTAGTAGAAATGATGCATTCAGACTATCCCTAAAAGAGAAGATCGCGGATGTTTGGAATGCGGGTTCGTGGGTGATCAGGGATGGGCATCACTGATGTCATTGCATATTTTTTTTCTCGAACTACCCATCCATCCATCCCTTCGGTCCATGGGAAAGGGAAACTAACTAGGGAAGGGGGGAAAGAAACTAAGGGAGGGTTGAACAAATTCCCCAACCCCACCTCTTTCTTTGGAAAGACATCATAGTTAGTTTAGTTAGTTGAGAGAGGTAATTGATAAGCAGCAAATGCGAAACAATAATCAAATTTTACGAAGTGACGGAGTAGTGCTGCTATCTACTTGGTATTTACTGGCCGCTTGGGCCCCTCGGGATGGTGCCGGGTTGGTTGGTTGATTAGTGGTAGACACTAAAGTAGTAAGTACTGATGGTGGCTCTAAAAACCAGGGATCAATTTCAGTCCAACTTAGTGTTAGTTCAATCACTATCTAGTGAAAAAGGGAAAAGGAAGTGTCAGCTTGGGGTTGATTCCACATGGGAAGTATTAAAAAAAGCCGCCACCGAGGGTCTTGTTTTTTTTTTTTTTTTTTTTTTTCTTTTGGGTTCATTTCCAATTAGGGTAGACTGAGACCCATCACAAGCTCTTTTGGGGAGGACGGAATGCTTGGAATTTACTTATTCCTTGTTCTATTTCTCTGCCTGTTCACTTGCAGTGAGATAAGCAGTGTCTGACCACTTCATACTGGAGTAGTGAGGTAGTAGACATATCACACGCCTCTTCTTACTATACAGGCGTGTGGGGGTGTGTACCAAGTGATGAATGAAGAACGAAAGAAAGTGAAAATGGTCTGCAATCGATCGCTACCCTACGTACATTGCATGCATGCATACAAACAGAGACTTTTTCCGCAAGCGAAAGCGAACCCAAAAACCAAATCCTACCCACCTACCCACTGGTGGCAACAGCGGCAATAGCCGACCCAACAACAGCACACGATGAGCTATGAAGAGAGAGAGAGCCCGAGAGAGAGAGGTGGGGGTGTTGAGCGGAAAAGCAACAAACCCAAACGAATTAATTTCGGGGGTTCCATTGAAGGAACAGTGCTCATTGCTCGGAAATCTTCATAGCGGCCACTAGTGGCCCTTGTTCCTTAGCTACGATGGTCGAAAAGAACCCCAAAAGTGCAACCCCGAAAATTCCACTAGTAAGTACTAACCATTGGATGGAATTATTTTTGTAGGTCGAACCCCATCGCAACAGGGGGAAGGCAGGGAAAATCAGGGACTTTGCTGGCTAAGACGCTAAGTTGGGCAGGCTACTTTAGTACTGTTAGTTTAGTAGATGGCCACTAGTGTGGTGTGCCTGTGAGTTGAGTTGAGTGAGTGTATCAGGGACCACTAATCCGTAGTACTGAAGGGAAAGTGGATCTCGCCGAGGGACCGCGCTAGTCGTATCGGTCAGGCTAACTAACGGTTCTCCGACAATCAACAAACCCCCTCTTTGAGCTTTTGCAATGGAAAACGGTCTACCGTTCCAGACATCGTCTCATCTATCGGATAGAGTGGATGATTGACATTGTAGTAGCATGTGATACAAAAGTTCGACGTCTTGAGTTGCTTGGTTCTGATAGCTGGTAACATCGGCAGCTACCGCAACAGTAGCTTTGGTAGGATCACCCGCCACGCTCAACCATCCTGTAGATCAAAAGGTAAATCTATAGCTCGTTGGCATTCATGATTATGCCGAGAATTTGGGAAAGCCATGATAGGTTATAGCTAGCCTCGGGTCAGCTTGTCTTGCTGGCTAGCTGTATGGACACTTAATAACCTCACCTCACTTCACCTATAACGATAATATCACTGTGATAAATTGGCCTATGGGCCTTCCTCCAATACCATTGGTGCGATATCTGGGCCTCACTCTACCAGCGGCGTGCTTCAGAGTGACTCCTCCGGCAACCATTACACTTGACCTAAAGCATAACGAAATCAAGGGTGTTCGGACATCCGACGTTTATCCGTGTTGAGTCCGTTTCTCGTTACAACGAGACCCTGCGGGCATGGCCTGAGCTCTGGGCTGTATCGCTGAACTCACTATACTCTAGCCATGCTTGTTCGAGTAGGTGTTTATCACAACGCGCCATGCAGCAAAAAACCTCCGAGACTGGGCGCATTGATTGGCAAAAGCAATACTATACTAGTAGTAGACGAGGGAAAGGCCAATATGCCGATACGCTAGCCACGTGCGGTTGGCATATAACCATTGACTGTTCAGATATTGGCAGACTCACCGTACTTGGGGTAAATTAATCTGTCCCAGAAACATAGTAATCGAGGCGTGAGTGAGTGGGTTCATGGGAAATACCAGGTATCAGACTGAGAGCATCTAGTCTTTGGTAGTTTCGGGAACCGTTGTGTACGAACTGAGTAGGCGGATCCGAGGCCGAAAGAATCGTGAGACCTGAACACACGCTGGTAGTCATCCACAATTGCTAGTGTAGCCTATCTAACAGCTCAGCAGGGTTCTGCAGAATTCTCCTATAAACTACTATCAGATGGATGAAAAAAGCTTGTTCGACGTTTACCGCAGAACACGAGGGATTGATGAAAGTAAGGCCAGAAAAGTTCACGGGCGACAGGACCAAATTGGGTTAGTGGACAATCCGGCCGAAGTGTCAATAATAATTCACAAGCCGTCCACTGTAAAGTGTAGATTAAATGTGCCGGTCCTTCAATATACCCCTGCGAGCAGATTTTCTCCGCTCTACTGTATTGTACTGTTGTGCTCTCAGGGAAACGTTTATTGGAGGTTGGTGAGACAATGTGTTGAGCCTTGACTACTTCCTCGAAAAGTGGGAAATGGAGATGGACAAATCATCAAGCACATGTGTTCGGAGGGAGCTCCGAATGAGTCGAAAGGCAGGTCTTGAAGCATTCTCGATGTCACCGGAGGGTCCGAATGATGGTGGAAAAAAGCCAAAAGCGTATTAGTTAGCGTCCCAAAAAAAGAAATTGTAATTTATCACCAGTTTGTGATTAGGACCCGCTACCGGCCACTATAGTCAGGTAGATATTAGATAAGTAATATTATTAGTCGCATTGAGTGACCAGACCCTGAAACCGGAAGATCATAGTGTTTCCCAAACCGTAAAGAATAAGGGTAATAATCATAAAAATAATCAGAAGAAATCATCTCAAACGCTGGTTCTAATACGGGGCTTGGTATGAACTACCACACAATACCTGAGATACGAGATACCGACCGTACACAGAACAGCAGTCCGAGCAGGTTCACACCGACGCTGCTCATCAGCACTACAGATCAACTACTAGTATCTTGTTGGTTAGCTAGTTATATGGAGACAACTTGGACCCTGAGTCAGGAAGGAAATCTCACCAGGCGCACAGCTAGATAATTAGTTACTCAGTAAGTATTTAACTAAAGACGCGTTTTTTGACTGTCACTGGGCGTGGGAAGAAAGAAAATAAAATACCACCTAACCTCCTAGTTACGATGGTGGCTGGAGCATAAGCGAGTCTATTGGCCCCTGAGGAGAGAGGAGGAGCGGCGCCAGTCCCGAAATATGTGGTGAATGGGCCCTGTGACTGGCTCCCTGCTGCGACCCTGGGCGGGATTACCCTCCGGAATTACCGCATTCGGCACAAGGTATGCGGGGGCTGCCAGTTAGCGTCGGTGACCGGGCAGCGCCAAGAATGCCTCGAGGATTCTGGGAAGTCAGGGAGTCGCCGAAAGCCAGGCACCTTGGACCAATCCCCATGCGTATCCACACGCCTTGTTTCACGGGCAAGACAGTCCAACTCGCCCTGGCAAGAAAAGAATAATCTGTCCAGGACGGAGCAGCATCATACTACTACTACTACTCCTTCCGACTTGACCTCCAATTCCTCACTACTGCTAACTAATTCACTCACTCTCCCTCTCTCTACTGGCAATCACACCCTGATTACCTTATGCTTACCCCCTTCTCACTCTCACTCTCTGGCTAAATACCTCTGCTTGATTCCTTCTCCGCAACCGACCATCGGCCCCTGTCGCTCCGTACACACCCATCATTGACCGTCGCTCATCACCTCCCACCACCACCACCCCCTCCCTACCATTTCTAACAAAGGTCCTAGCGTCAGGGACAATTTGAGCAGTCTTCCAACCGCCAGCACCCCCACGGCCCGGTCTGTTCTTCCAGCCTTGACTTGATAGCCTTCAAGTATCCTTCAATTCTGAACGAGTACCTCCTTTACCTCCCTACCATATCTACCGATAAGCCGTCATCCTGCCGCCCTGTCTGTCGCGACTTCTGCACCCGATCGTCGCGGCTGCGAACGCGAATAACCCTACACATATCTACTGTCCATAACAAGCGAATAACCGAATTGAACTCGTCTTATACACTTTTGAGAATATTACACGACCGTTCTGGACTTCTGCGAATCCGTCTTGTTCCGCGCCTTTTATGTGTTTATAGCAAATCTAGTTCTGGCATGATTCAGGCGACCGCCTCCCGACCCTGACCATCTCCAAGCGACCACCTATCCCACCGCCTGTTAATCGACCCTGATATACACCGAATCACGGTTATGAGCATGGTCTTCACCCGCTCAACGGATCCCATTGAATCATTATTGTGTCTGTGAAGCAGATCGGTCTCTCTTCTCAGCACGATTTCCGACCGTTCGTGGTACCAAATGGCCGGCCCTACTGGAATGGGGGCAGCCCTCCGATCTTGTGTAAATGCCTTCGTTCTATTACTTGTTTTTGGATCGCCCGCAATAGCTCAGTTCTGCTCATTTTGGAGTGGCAGCTGTCTTGATGCACTGGCTCAGACTGCCGTCTCCTTCAACTTCCCGCCTCTGTTTGAGGAGAGCCTCAACCTTTACTATGGATTTGATGCCAACTCTCGAGGAAAAGGCCAGGAACCTATGACTAAAGTCAGCTTCTGGCTTGGATACAGTGCTCATCTCAATAACTCTGTTATAAACTCCAACCGCACCTCCGAGATTGCCTTGCGAGTGGGAAATCTTACCGGAACGCCGTCGGGTTCCAACAATGGCTGCGATGGCGTGTGGGGCGCACAGTGCTCGTACGACTTGATCACTTTGTTGAAGCAGGCCTTGTTTGGACTCACTACCAGTGGAAGTTACTACGATGACCCTCTGGATACGGTTTTGAGTGAGATGCTCATCAACCAGCCCGTACTCTCCAATTGCCCTCCACCTCTATTCGACGTCGCTGCCATTCCCTCTATTTGTATGTTGGCTCCGGTGTTTGCTTTACCTCTTGTTTATTGAATCTCTTTTACTGACGAAAGAAAGCTTTTGCTCAAGAAACCGATATCACACGAATTGCAACCCTCCAGACGTCCGGGTCTAGCAGTGAACCGTGGAAGACTTGGTTCATTGATAACATGACTGCCAATGACCAAGCAGCTCAAGTTGCAGTGGCCATTATTAGCAGAGCTCCATCCTACAACGGCCATCCCCCCCAATATGTGGACGATATACAATTGGAGCTCGTTTGCACTCAGGCCCCGTCTTCGGGCAGTTCGTCGTCAAGTCAAGGTTCCTGACCTATGGTTCACCCCGCCTTTTTGGCAAATCAACCGACAAGAATGAACGCAAGGAATATGCCCGTCACAATTTTGGAGAATCACCCACCAACTATCTTATTACACCAAAAATATCTCACATTGACTGAGATTTCTCGGCACGAGCTGTGCCTGACCTGGGTTGGTTTCGACGAACAGCAGGGTGCCCACCGTTACCGGACATTATATGACACAGCTCTGTGATGCACTTCGACAGGAAGAAACGAGGCACCCGAAGATTGGTGACATGATACAGCGACAGACGTGAATTATCCCGTCTGTCATTGAGAGGTCAGCTGCTGTGATATATGCCGCTGCGAAGACATCTGAGGGAAAGGCCAACGGTTACGGATGATGACCCGGCTCCCGACACCTGATGTCTTCTAGAATCCGACCGACTTCTTTCCCCTCCGTGAACCCCGGTGAATTAATACAGATGCACAGAAAGGGGTAAAACATCTACACCCAAATGAAAGAAAGACGAACGAGACAAGCATTGCATGTTTGCTAGTGAAACGTCAAGATCCTAAAGGGTATACTGGAAATTAGCGAACTAAGCACAAAATAGAATACCATTTCGAATAACAACCACTAAACCCCCTTACTCTAATCAATCCCCATTAAACCGCATACCCCTCTTGCGGTGCGTACGTTCCCGCGAACTTGCCTCGCCTATAAAGTCGGCCATTCCATGTCAATCGGCTCCAAATCACCAGGGCCTCGGAAATCCTCGAGGATGTCTGCTTGTTCGCTCAGGAGCTTCCGATCCGTTTGCTTGCCAATCGTGGCCAACCCCCTCCATCTTTCCAGATCCTTCGCATTCCGCTTGTCGCCGTGAGCCGCCTCCGCTTCCTCCCAATGTCCCTTGGAGAAGCCCAGCAACGTGGTGATGCGCTTCCGTGGGATGTCGTACACCAGCGAACATATGGTACCGGTCTCCTCAAGCCAATTGCACTGCCAGAGCTCGCCCGGTCGAATGCACTGGTACGTGGCCGTTTGAAAGTTCTTTCGGCCGGCCATGGGACCGCCATGGATGGCATAGACGATGCGGTCCTCGTTATAAAACCACATTTCATAGCGCCATTTCTCGGGGTTGCCTTGGGCGTCCTGCGCGGCGTAATCGTATATCAAATGACGGTCGCGAATATCGGTGTCGAACGGGGTGTCTTTCAGCGAAGGAACGACTGGCATGATGGATACTTTTGGATGTGGATGTGGGATGGGAATGAGAGGTGAGATGATGGTGATAGTTATGTTCTGTGAATGAAACCAACTACCGTAGTACAGGATTTTGTTTTATGGTTTCAATTTGAATCTCAATCACAAAGTTTGCGAATATTGATCACTACCACCACTACTACCTTTTATATATATAGGTTCTTCCTCGTATATATATCCCCTATAAGATTGATCCAGTAGTAACTGCCATCCACCTTCCCGGTACCTTCTTCAATAGTTTTTGTTCTGCTTGCTTGCTTGCTTGCTTTGCCGGGGATCTCTCCCGAGTTGACAGCGATGACATCACGACCCAAGTGGGACGGAAGTCCCCCTCCCTCCCCCCTTCGCTTTATTTTATTTTACTTTATTTTTTTTTCTTTGGTAGGGGTTGGTTGTGTCCTGTATTTTCTTGCCGGTTTTGCCGTTTGGCTCTACCCAATCCATTCCAAGCTGCCTGTGTGGATTTCCATGCTTTGGTGAAATATGGATCCACCTGGACTACTACTACTAGGACGACGGTCATCTTATGACAGTGGCGAATCGAGTAGTAGTCAGGCGGGATAGAATGATTCGGCAATTGGAAGCTTAACTTTCGGGCGTTGTGAGCCTAGGCTCATTGAATGGGTTGAGTAGAGCCTAGGTACTTAGTAGTTTGATTTGCTACTGCCGGCTCTTTCGGTACGTGTGCGTGAGTTGTGGGCTAGTAATTGCGTTGTGGAACATACATTGTGTTATATATGGCGTTCAGTAGATTAGTGGATATGTGACTGTTTGGTTGGTCTTTAGATGCAATTGTTTAAGAATGGATGGTGCACTGTTCGAAGTGTATAGGGGTGATGTAGTGGATTTTGTGTATATGTAGATATTGTACTACCATACTAGTAGATAGGTAGGCTTTGAACTAGCGAGTATGATATCTATTCATGCGTCTGAAGAATGCTTGCTCACGTGTGATGCTTGGTAATCCCTGAACGGGGAAGATGAAGAGTGCGTGGGGAGTCTGTTGTTCATTCTTGCAGTTATCGTGTCTACTATACCGGAGTTGATCATTCATTCCTCTCTAATTCCCCTTAGTTCGCTAATTGGAGGACATTGGACGATACTATGCTAAGCTGTCCTTGGTGTTGAAGCCTAGACCGTTATTGTCTTGTTGGCTGGTTAACCGTTAGACTGGCATCTTGGACTGTCAGGTGTTCAAATGATGCTTCTTCTTCTTCTTCAATGCTAAAAATGAGTCGGAATACCTACGTCCAGGATACCTCTTGAATACCAGGAAGAACGACTGGAGCACAAAAGCGCAGGAGAGGAAGCGAACCAAAGATATGCAATGTATAATCGGCAATGTTCTCCGCTACTATACCAACATTGCCTCCAGATATCTCAATCGTCATGAGATTGGCTACCAGCAGAAAGGCGGGTATATAGATCTTTCGGCACTGGTGTGCCAAGCCCGTTGATCTGTGCTTAAGTTGATCTTCTCTATGGCTTCTCGTTGGGGTACTATTATTGCCGGCTAGCATTATCCTCCCTATTACATTGATTAACCATTCCGCAGGACATTTGCGCCAATTGCTGCCCACATGCTAGATATATTAAGTGCCGGAGCATCTCCTACAATCACATCGGCGCCAATTGAGTTTTCAAGACACCAGAAGCCTTGTACACCGAACCAGGCAATTCGGCACGCAATCCCAATGATCGATTTTGGAACAACCACAGATGGAGTTTAGATTGGGCTGGACCTTCGGGCTGCCTGGTTGTGGGTCTTGTACCACCGGCGCGAAGTCGGCGGGCTATCCGTCATAGGAAGGTAGATATGGAGATGTTAGCTCTTTTGCTCCCACCTTCCCCATGAGTGTGACTGCTAGATATTCATTATTGAATTTTTTAACAGTCTTTACCTGGCATAGGCGCGGGGTTAGGCTTGTGAGTGTGTGGGTGGGATCCTTTCAGGGTTGCGGGAAGAGGATGAACAATTACACTTGCGGCACAAGGCAGATCATCCGGTCAAGGATCTGTTGGCTCCTGTTTGCTGCATGTGTGGTTCATGAAAATCCAGCAAGCTCTATGGTCGGGCATCATGCTGGCCAGTCGAGAAGCGACAAGCTCTTTCAGCTACAACGTTTAAAGTTTGCAGGCCCACTCGTTGGAGAGCTTAATGGGGGATCGCATTCCACCACAAGCTTGAATGGCTCCGCCCATGGGTGACGGCATTAATGTTTCATGCTCGGATGACCTCGGAAGTGATGATTGCAGAGTGGTGCTGTCTATGTATCAAACGAAGCGTTTGATCGCCTTGAGGGGAAATCTGTAGAAAATAGTGTTAGGCATTTCTTTTTCAACGTGAATGGGGAATGCGTGAAGCAAACTGCAAAAGCGCCCAACAGCGGCAGGCTGGGCACCTTTGGGTTCATAAGGGGACTACGAGTCAGTGCTAAAAGACAAACACCTAGACCGCTGTCCCGCTCCATTCCACTTGCTGGACGATTCTGTGGTGGAAAACTTCAATGGTGCAGCAGTGGTGGTGATTTCATGATTCGGGCCGGCGCATGACGTAGCAGATCCCTAGACCGGCGCATATCGTCATCGTTCGTGTTGCCCGATCATCCCGCACTGGAGATGAATATTCTTATAATTATCACTCAGTCTAACTAATGGTCTCTCGTCCCGATTTATTAATTTCCCGGTGCCGGATCTACTGATTCAGATCGATAATCTACAATCTGCACAAACCTGCCAGACACGCTTCCCCCCGGTCAACTCTCAATCACCATCACCCTATCACTCAATACATTCCGATCACACCACCAAGATGGTTGCCAAAGCTATCCAGCTCGGTCTACGGATCTGGGAGGTATGTCAATCTTTCTCGAGCCGTGAGCACCTGCTCTAGCTGGACCTGCAAAGCAAGCAAGTGCCGCAGTTGGAGATTCTGGACTAACGCTGAAAATGGCATCAGTTCCTCTGGACTCTGCTCGTCATGGCCCTGATCGGTAACATGATCGCTGAAGCATTCGCCGGGAATCCAGCGACCATCAACTACACCATGTTTGTTGCAGCTTTCTCGATGTTCACACTCTTCTATCTATTCCCAGCGACAATCAATATTGACTGGGCCATCCACCCAATCTTCTTGATCGCTATCGACACGCTCAATGCGATCCTGTTCCTTACAGCCGCCATTGCTCTGGCTGCGAAGTTGGAATGCCACAGCTGCAGCAACGATGTACGTATAGGTGCATGATTTTCTGCCTTATCAGTCGGGGAAACTATCCACTAAAAAGTGGAGAGTGGAGTTTTTTCGTCCCGCGCACCTCCCAAAAGATGATGCACTACAGTAGTATGATCTTAGGGCAACGCTGACTTGTGGATACTTACTCTAGACCTACACGCTCAACAACGAAATCACCAACGGTGCCCATAACCGCACGAAGCGTTGCCGCGAGGCTCAGGCCTCGACGGCATTCCTGTGGTTCGCCTGGGCTGGCTACACGGCCTCGATGATTCTGTCGATCATCATGTCCCGCCAGACAAGTGTCAACCTTCGTGGACGCACCGGTCCTGCTCGCGGTGTTACTCGCCCCAGCATGGCTCAAGTTTAAACAGTGGTCCATATCCGCTTCTCCGCCTGGGCTGGGATTACGTTTACCGAACTAAATGTCGCTCCCAGGAATGGAATGAAACGAATGACAAAGCGCGACTGGACCAAATATCACATGAGATGCAATTGGACACAGCGCTAATTTTTGACTGATGAAACCAATCTAACGATTCTCATCACGTTCACTACTAATTTCAAGAAAAAAAAAAAAGAAGTTCTGGCAGTACTTGGCCAGGAACTACGGCTGTGGATAATCATAATTGGGGGCAAGGAGTTCTGTGTGTAATTCTAATTGTGTGTTCTATTGATATGTATTTGATAGTTTGTAATACCGATCGATCCAATGTGTCGAGGCTGTTGGATACTGTCAAAATGTCAGATGATATTTATTTCTGTCATTAAGTGAAGTCAGATGCCCGTCCACAACGTACAATTCTTTAATGACGCAGGTAGGCGGGGTACTGCTCTTGAGGTGAGAAACTGTTGAAGATACTCCGAGACGCCATGTGAGAAGAATCCATATGCCGACCGGGGAAGAAGCAATTAGATCGAGCAGCTTAGAAATCCAGGCAGGCCACTTCGGAGGCACGGGAAGCTGCATTTCAGCTCCTCACTAGTCGCCGCATGATTTGATTCGGAGAAGTCAAGTACTTCCCCTCTTCCCCTCTCGACAGATACATACATAAGGCTCGATCATCTGTCATGCTCTCTAGGACCTTTATAACACAAAACCATTCTATAATCTCCCCCGCCCCCGTGCATTATTCTCCCTAAGTATCACCACCATGGTCAAAGCCATTGCCGTCACTGCTCCCGAAACTATCTCCGTGGTGAGTGACTGGCCCAAGCCTACCCTTCGTCATGACTGCATCCTCGTCAAAGTGGTGAGCGTCGCGCTTAACCCCACTGACTGGAAAACCGCCCTTCGAAGCTCTCCCATCGTCACTGTTGGATGTGACTACGCCGGCATTGTAGAAGACGTTGGCCCTGGCGTCACGAAACCCTTCCGGGCCGGTGATCGCGTCTTTGGCGTCATTCGCGGCTGCAACCCCAATCTCCCCTACAATGGAGCATTTTCAGAGTACATCCTCGCTCCAGGTGACCTGCAGTGCGCCATACCGGAAAACCTCAGCTTCCAGGAAGCTGCAACCCTAGGTGTCGGCATGGGCACCATTGCTCAATCTCTGTATCAAAGCCTGCAGCTCGCACCGTTTGATCATCCTCTGGCCCAGCCGGAACCGATTCTCGTCTACGGCGGTGCGACGGCCACAGGAACTCTGGCAATTCAGTTTGCGAAGCTGTCCGGGTACGAGGTGATTACGACGTGTTCGCCCGAGACTGAGGAGCTAGTGAAGAGCCGTGGTGCCGACCATGTGTTTAACTACAAGGATCCCGAAGCGGCTGACAAGATCCGCGACGTTACACAGGATCGTCTGAAGTTGGTGCTGGATACCATCTCGACAGACGAGACGGCGGCATTTTGTGGACGGGCTATGAGCTCCCAGGGCGGTGATTATACGGCGATGATAGATAGCAAGGTGCCTCGTGCGGATGTGCGTAGTCGCTGGACGCTGGGGTATACGGTTTTCGGTGAGGAGTTGACGTTTCGGGGTGGGCGTATCCCTGCGAAACCGGAGGATCGGGCTTTTGCGGCAGAGTGGTTGGAAAAGGCGGCCAAGTTGTTGGCGGATGGCAGGGTTGTTCCTCATCCTGTGCAGCTTGGGGCTGGCGGCTTGCAGGGTGTCATTGAAGGATTGAATCTCTTGAGGGAAGGGAAGGTCAGGGGGTGTAAATTGGTGTATAATGTGGATGAGACTGCTTGACTTGGTGGTTATATGCAATCATGACTGCTATGACTGCTACTACCTACGGGAAGATGTGCTTCCATATGAGTGCTCCACGCGTTATCGTTGGAGTTAATCCACCTATATTTGGCTGTACGGATCCCCGACGGCTGAAAGACCTATTAGGCGTCTCCTATAAAGATCGGTGAAGTTTATTCGTGCGTAGCAGCCTTACAAGGGGGAGTATCAGGCAGACATGAATGAGTAGCAGTAGCTAGAGGCTAAGATCAGTCTAGAACCCAGGTCACCTCTACGCCGTGCATTTATGGGTTTGGAGGGGGGACTAAGTAGTAGTCTTGCGACAGGGGTATATTCACCGAGTCAACTTATCGCAGCCATCTAATTGCCGGATTTGCAGCACCATCCAAGCCTAAAGAGGTGGATAGGCCAGCGACATTAGCTCCTTAAAGGTACTGTCTGCTTCGATTCCACTTGACACTCAACCTCACTCCACCTCAACACTTCCTCGCCAACCTCAACTTTCTACCATAAAATCCAAGTCTCATTGCCATCTAGCATTGTCTCGTCACTTATCTGAGTATTGATATTCCATCAGGATGGAGAACATCCATACTTGCGGAGACAATGGATTTGGTCCTCGAGTGGTCCACTGCCGAGGGGACTTCGACTTCACCTTACTGTTTGAAGAATGCTTCTTCTCGATCGCTCCTTCAGCATTACTTCTCCTTGTGCTTCCATTGCGCTACAAACAGCTATGGAAACATCGGACCGCCATCGTCTCTCAAGGCTGGGCATACTGGGCTAAACTGGTACGTGAGTCGTGTCACTCAATGAGCTATCGCCAACTCATTATGCGCAGGTTTCGGCTCAAGCCTTTGGTGCATTACAGTTTTCACTTCTAGTTTTATGGCTCCTCCCTAACACGCCACGGACGCAGACTTCCCTGGTAGCTGCGGTTCTGACCTTCATCACATCTGTTGGCCTACTGTTCCTATCACATCTGGAGCACCTATATTCTGTGCAGCCCTCTTCTCTTCTGAATCTTTTTCTATCATGGACAATTGTCTTTGATGCCGTACGTGCAAGGAGTCTGTGGCTGTCCTCGTACACCGTTCTTGCTGCCCTCTACATAGCGAGCATTGCGGTCAAGTTGTTCTGGTTCTTTCTGGAGACAAGGCCAAAACTGGCCTATTTCGTGAACAAAACCATGCAATATGGCGACGAGGAAACTAAGGGCTTTTATAATCGCGCCTTCTTCTGGTGGGTTAATCCTTTGCTCTTCCTCGGGTTCAAGCAGTCAATATCCCTCGACGAACTGCCGTACCTTGATCGGGCTCTTTCTGCCAACGAATTACATCGGAATTTTTCAGCGCAATGGATTGCAAGTAAGTAGTAGCCAAAGTTGAATTCCTGGAGTTCGCTGACCAGTTTAAGTGCCGAAAACGTATGAAAATGCATTAGCCTATTGCGCTGTCCGCACATTCAGAGCTTCGGTCTTTTACTCTTTCCTGTCGAGGCTCATGAGAATTGGGCTGGATTATACGCAACCTTTTCTGATATCCAGATTGACTATCTATGTTGACCAGAAGAATTCTAGTAAAGACGATGGATATGGCCTGATTGGTGCATTTGCACTGGTCTTCATCCTCAAAGGCGTATGCTATTTACTCCCTCCTCTAGAACTCTATTCTGATGAAATCAATACAGGTCGTGAACTGTCTTTACGAGCACTATGTATTTCGTCTCATAACGCAAATACGCGGTGCTCTCGTATCTGTCATCTATGATAAGACACTCGAGCTGAAATATGATGAGTACACTGACTCGGCAGCGCTGACTCTGATGAGTAATGATATGGATAACATTGCATCGGGAATCCAGAATGTGCATGAGGTCTGGGCGAGCCCCATAGAAGTGGGCATTGCATTATACATGCTGCAACGTCAGGTAGCTTGGGCTGCTACAGTTCCTGCCGTCCTTTCTATCGTGGTCTTCTGTTGCACCCATTTGTTGTCGAAGTCCGCACCAGGAAGACAAAAGATATGGATGCAGGCTGTCCGTGAAAGGGTTGCATTTGCTTCGAGTTATCTCGATGCGAGTGTAACTATCAAGATGCTTGGCCTTCAGGATCATTTCTCTAGAATGCTACAGCAACTCCGCATTGACGAGCTTGATCGACAGTCGAAATTTCGCCACCTGATGGTGAAAATGAATTTGCTCGGTAAGTTCAGTCTGAGTGCGAATATTTTGCCAGATTGAATTCATGAGACTAACCTTGTTTTTAGCGGGCACAACAACCAACCTCAGCCCTGTTCTCACACTCAGCCTTTTTACTGGTGTTGCACTTCATACCGGACGAAGTCCATTGACAGTGGCTCAAACGTTCTCATCTCTGTCAATAATTTCTCTATTAAGTGGTCCTTTGTCAAACCTGGTCTATTCCGGCCCAAAAGCTAGTGCAGCCTTGGAATGCTTTCAGAGGATCCAAGCTTACTTGCTGGCAAGCCCCAGGCTTGATGATCGAGTTATATCGCATGGCCATCATAAATTCTCCAAACATGAAAATTGGGCTGAAATTAACGCTGAGGGGACAGTGTCCATTGAGCTTCAGCCTCCAAAACCATCGGATCGAGGACTTCTGCACGGTTCTGTCGCAGCTGAGTCGGACTTGCTGCATATACACCAGGCTGATTTTGGTTGGGATCGGAATTTGCCAGCTACATTGTTGAACATCGAGCTGAAATTTCCTCCTTCATCGCTTACCATAATTACTGGGGCCGTTGGATCAGGAAAGAGCACTCTGCTTCAGGCGATTCTCGGCGAGGTTCCCTGCATGAAGGGCTTCATTTACAGCAATGTTTGCGAAATATCGTTCTGTAGTACCAAGGTCTGGATTCGCAATGGATCCATCCGTGATAATATTTGCCAACCGTTGCCTTTTGATGAGCAATGGTACCGAACAGTGCTCTATTCCTCTGCGCTTGACCAAGACATAGAGAGCTTTGCCCTCAAAGATCACACAGTCATTGGCAGTAATGGTATGGCAACTAGTGGCGGACAAAGACAACGGATTGCTCTTGCCCGTGCTATCTATGCACGCAAGCAGCTAGCTCTTTTCGATGACGTCTTAAGTGCTCTAGATGCGAAAACTTCAGAGCAAGTCTTTCAGCGCGTTTTCGGGACACAGGGCATCTTGCGCCGTCATGGAGTTGCTGCTATCTTAGCCACTCATGACACCAAACTTCTTGCCTTTGCTGATAATGCTGTCTTGCTTCAAAACGGAGTGATTACGGAACAGGGTCCTCCACGATTGCTCCAATCACAGGATCCATCGGATGGATCAGCAGCCACTTCACACTCAACCGACGAGCGCCAAGTAGCATTGCCAAATCAGGCAGCTCCAGGCATTGTGTCTTCAGATGCTGACGATATGAACAGGAAGACAGGCGACCTGAGCTTATATGCATACTACCTCCGAGCTGCCGGCCCTTGGCATGTATCAATCTATTTTGTATCCTTGATTATAGGAGTGTTTTGCTCTCAATTTCCCAGTAAGTCTACCTGTCTTCATTGTCTACTTTCACTGATAAAGAAGCGAAGATCTTTGGGTTCAATGGTGGGGAGAAGAAAATGCTCGGACGCCGTTCGGAAGGCTTGCCCTTTATATCAGCGTATATGCTGTTCTGGCCGCTGTAGGAGCTGTACTGTGGGCATGGTGCATGTGGCTGGTCTTTTGCCGCATTGTCCCCACGTCCTCCAACAGGCTCCATGACTATCTGGTGATGAAGATTGACAAGGCTCCTTTGCACTGGCTCACCTCCACAGACAGCGGTATCACCCTGAATCGCTTCAGTCAGGACATGACTCTAATTGACCGATCACTTCCTG